CTGGTGCTGCTGGTGGTGCTGCTGGTGCTGGAGCTGCTAGAGCCGCTGGTCCTGGAGGTGCTCGTACTGGAGGTACTGGAGCTGCTGGGACTGGAGCTGCTGCGGGGGTTGGAGCTGGAGGTGCTGGAGCTGCTGGAGCTGCTGGTGGTGCTGCGGGAGTTGTAGCTGGAGACCCTGAGACTGGGGGTCCTGGTGCTGTCTCTGCTGGTTCAGGAGGTGCTGCGCGGCCGCGGCCGTACTACGTTCCGCTCCTTCAGCAGGTTCTTGGTCTCCCGCCCTCTACTGGTCCTACTCCTCCCCTACTGAGTCCACCGCCTGTCCAGTCGCAGTCACAGTTACAGCCTGCCTCTCCGCTGCCTGGTCCTTCTCCTTACACTGCGCCGACAGGCAGTCTTACGGAGCGTCGTGAGCCTGAGTCTCGTCCTCCGTCGCCTGAGTCTCGTCCAGAGTCGCCTGAGTCGCGTCCAGAGTCGCCTGTCCGCGCTGTCCGCGCTGGTCGTCGGGCTCCACGTCAGCGTCCTCCTCCTGTCCTTGGCACTCACTATATGACCCTGCGTCCTTCCTCTGCTCCACAGCGTGTCCCTCTGCCGTCTCCTCCTGCGTCCTCTCTTCCTGACGGTCCGGACTCGGAGTCTGAGTCTCTTCGTGCTGCCAGTCCTACTGTCGCGCGTCTCCTTGCCACTGTTGTCACTGACCCTTCCTTTGAGTCCTCTGCTGCGTCTGCTCTAGTCGCTGAGCTTGTTGACTTTGCTGCCGCCTGTCGTCTAGACTACGCCGCTAGCCTTGTTGCTGAGTCTGAGTCTGTCTGTCCTCCGTCCGTCGGGGGTGAGTGTGCTCTTGGCACGGACGTCCTTGAGGACAGACAGGAGGAGTTTGAGTGCTTTGCCGCTGCTTTACCTCATCTCGTGTCCATGCTGATTGCCCCTGAGGGAGACCCAGATGCACCAGACATCCCGACCCCACGCTCTTACGTAGAGGCGATGGAGGGTCTCTACTCCTCTGAGTGGCAGACAGCCATGTCCATGGCTGACCCGTCGCTGTTTCTACGCACGGACACCACTCTGCCGCCGTTCTACGTTCTCGTGTGCGTAGACGACTTGGTCTTTGCTACTGCTGACACTGAGGCACTCGCCCACGTGAAGTCGGAGCTGTAGAAGAGACACACGTGCACAGACCTGGGTGAGCTGACAAGCTATCTTGGCTTGCGGATCACCCGGGACAGAGCACAGCGCACCATCACCTTGACTCAGTCACACATGGTGCAGCAGGTCCTTCAGCGCTTCCGCTTCACGTACTCCTCGCCTCAGCCCACTCCTCTGCCTACCGGTCACTCGCTCTCAGCTCTGCCTTCGGATGAGTCCGTAGAGCCGAGTGGCCCGTATCCAGAGCTTGTGGGCTGCCTCATGTACCTGATGACCTGCACTCGACCTGACCTTGCATACCCTCTTAGCATCCTAGCACGCTATGTCGCTCCTGGCCGTCACCGGAAGGAGCACATGGATGCCGCTAAGAGGGTGTTGCGCTACTTGTGCAGTACGTCGGGCATGGGGCTTGTGCTTGGAGGACGGCGCGACGTTGTCCTCACTGGACACTCAGACGCTTCTTGGGCTGACGACCAGGCTACTCAGCGGTCGTCTCAGGGTTACACCTTCAGCCTTGGCTCTGGCTCAGTTTCTTGGCGTTCTACACGCTCGTCTTCAGTTCTCAGCTCCAGTTGTGAGGCTGAGATCTACGCCACAGCCATGGCTGCCCAGGAGCTACGCTGGCTCACCTACCTGCTGACCGACCTGGGAGAGCGGCCTCGTTCTCCTCCAGTGCTGTACGTCGACAACAAGGCCGCCCTTGCCTTGTGTCAGGAGCACAGACTGGAGCACAGAACGAAGCACATCGCTCTGCGCTACTTCCTTGCTCGAGAGCTGCAGCAGCGTGGTCAGCTTCGTCTTACCTACGTGGCCACTCGGGCCAACACTGCTGATGTGTTCACCAAGGCGCTTCAGCCTTGTGACCATCAGCGTTTCTGTACTGTTCTAGGCCTTGTGCCTACTGTCCCTCACTTGCTCACTTCTTGACTCTGCTTGTACTGTGATCTCTATATATATACCTGCATGCTTACACTTGCTAGGTTGTGATCACTGTACCTCTTGTTATATTATCAAACTGCATGTGAACTGGTCTTGTGACCACTTGCTTGTGCTCGGAATTTGTGTGGTATCCTTGAGATCCACCCTGAGCTTGTTTTGCTTTTCTTTGACTGGTCTTATGACCCCTTGCTCTCCCCCACTTAGCCTATGGGGGTGTGTCAAACATTATACTTGTTCTATTTGTGTAGGCTATAGTGGGTTAGCCTTCTAGGGGGTACACTACTCTAGGTTTGTGGTACTTGTACTCCCATTCTCCTTCTAGTCAATCATTCTCGTTCTCTCTTAGTTTCTAACACTGGAGTGCCTTGCGACCGCTTCACCCCATCACACGACCATGCTGCTTGCCCCTGAGGGAGACCCGGATGCACTTGACATCCCCACCCTGGGTTCCTACAGGGAGGCGATTTTGGGTGAGTACTCCTCTCAGTGGCAGACATCCATGGACGCAGAGATGGCTTCCTGGAAGTCCACAGGCACCTACGTCGACGAGGTTCCCCCACCTGGGGCGAACATCGTCAGTGGCATGTGGATTTTCAGGGTGAAGCGGCCGCCGGGTTCTCCGTCTGCCTTCAAGGCACGTTACGTTGCTCGAGGCTTCAGTCAGCGTGAGGGGGTCGACTTCTTTCAGACCTTCTCCCCAACCCCGAAGATGACCACTCTTCGGGTGTTGCTACACTTTGCAGCTCAGCGTGACTACGAGCTGCACTCCCTTGACTTCTCGACAGCTTTCTTGCAGGGTAACCTTCACAAGGCCATCTGGTTGCGCCGTCCACAGGGCTTCAGTGGGTCGTTTCCTAAGGGTACCCAGTGGAGCCTACGGCGACCAGTGTACGGCCTGCGTCAGGCGCCCCGCGAGTGGCACGACACACTGAGGACAACACTTGCGGCTCTTGGGTTTGCTCCTTCGACGGCTGACACGTCGCTGTTTCTACGCACCGACACTACTCTGCCGCCGTTCTACATCCTCATGTATGTCGACGACTTGGTTTTTGCTACTGCTGACACTGAGGCACTGACCCTAGTGAAGGCAGAGTTGCAGGAGAGACACACCTGCACTGACCTGGGTGAGCTGCGGAGCTATCTTGGCTTGCAGATCACCCGGGACAGAGCACGGCGCACCATCACCCTCACTTAGTCACACATGGTGCACCAGGTCCTTCAGCGCTTCCGCTTCACGTGGTCCTCGCCACAGCCCACTCCTCTGTCTACCGGCCACTCGCTCTCAGCTCCACCTTCGGACGAGTCCGTAGAGCCGAGTGGTCCGTACCCAGAGCTTGTGGGTTGCCTCATGTACCTGATGACGTGCACACGACCTGACCTCGCGTACCCTCTCAGCCTCCTGGCTCGCTACGTGGCACCCGGTAGACACCGAAAGGTGCACTTTGATGCTGCGAAGAGGGTACTGCGTTACTTGTGCAGCACATCGGGCATGGGGCTCGTGCTTGGAGGACGGGGTTCGGTGGTCCTCACAGGACACTCTGACGCTTCTTGGGCCGACGACCAGACGACTCAGCGTTCGTCACAGGGTTACACCTTCAGTCTTGGCTCTGGTTCTGTCTCGTGGAGGTCCTCTCGTTCCTCTTCTGTGCTTGGTTCCAGCTGTGAGGCCGAGATCTACGCTGGGGCCATGGCTGCACAGGAGCTACGCTGGCTGACCTACTTGCTGACCGACTTGGGGGAGCGGTCTCGTTCTCCTCCAGTTATGTACGTCGACAACAAGGCAATGCTTGCCTTGTGTCGCGAGCAGAGACTGGAGCACAGAACGAAGCACATTGCTCTTCGCTACTTCCTTGCGCGTGAGCTGCAGCAGCGTGGTCAGCTGCGCCTTGCTTACGTGGCCTCTCGAGCCAACACTGCTGATGTCTTCACCAAGGCCCTTGGGTCTGGTGATCATCACCGTTTCTGCACTGCTCTTGGGCTTGTGCCCACTCTGCCTCACCTGCTGGTTGCTTGACTTGCTCTTGTTGTACACTGCTATATATCTTATACCTGCATGTTTTCTCTTGCTAGGTTGTGATCAGTGTACTGCCTTGCTATTATATACCTCTGCATGTGAACTGGCCTTGTGGCCACTTGCTTGTGCTCAGAATGCGTGGTGACTTTGTGATCCACCCTGAGCTGTGTTCTCTTCTGCAGACTGGTCTTGTGACCGCTTGTTGTGTTTGCTGTCCCCTACTTTGCCTATAGGGGTGTGTCAAATTACAATTGTATCTCTAGGCTACAGTAGGGTCACTCCTTAGTTAGTACAACACTTTAGGGTTAGGTTTCCCCTGCTTGTACTCACCTCTTGCCTAGTTCACTCATTCATTCCTGCTTATTCTAACAGGTGGTGGTGATGGTGGTGGTAGTGCAATATTTCAGGGTTCATAAAATTTTCTTGTTCAATTTGAAACGTCTGCCCTGGTATAGTGTGCTCATGTTTGACCTTTGACTTACACAAATATGGGGTGCTCAGGCCCTAAGAAACATGAACTTACACATTTACTCGCGATCCGGTTCCGTCTGTATGCTATACAAGCTTCAGTTTCACTTCAAGATTACGGTACTACCGGAAAGAGCCAAGTTCGAGTGCCTACGTTCCTAAGCTTTCGCAAAGCATACAACTTGTTCCCAACAACTTCTAGGGTCTTTAAATCCGGGATTACGCCAGTTTTGGTACAGCATTAGATGCTGTATTTTCATCCAATTATTTGGTAATACCAGGTGTAGTACACGAAACCACCCAGAATTGCGTCACCGGTGCTGAGAAGGGGCAGAAGCACGGTGGGGAACTGGCCGTCTGTCTCAAGTTGGGGAGGTTCATTGAGAAGGCTGCTATGATCACAATGAGCATTGATAGCACCATGCCCGTTGCTGTTATCAGCCCCTGAGGGGGCGAAAGTGTCGGGGGGGGGGGGGTAGGTTTCGGAGGGACAGGGGTGCGTGTATGTGTGTGGGAAAGAGCAGCGCCGGTGGCAAGGAGGGGCAGCAACAAGAGAAAGTGGCGTGAGTATCAACGAGGAAGTTGGGGAGGTTCATTAAGAAGGCTGCTACAATCACAATAAGCATTAACAGCACCACCCCCATTGCTGCGTTGCTGTTATCAGCACCTGTGGGTAGGGTGATGAGGAGGGAGGGGGTACGGGGGGCAGAAAGCAGAGGCACAAGCACAGGAAGGAACCGCCCTTCCGTCTCAAAGAGGAAGTTGGGGAGGCTCATTGAGAAGGCTGCGATAATCACAATGACGTTTGATAGCACTATGCCCGTTGCTGTTATCAACACCTGGGGGTGGGGAGGGGAGGAGGTGGGAGACAGAATGGGATGGAATATAAGGGAGAGGGAGGAAAGGGTGTGGTAGGACGTGGAGTAGGTTCCGGAAGGTGAATTGAAAGCGCAGGTGAGAATCATCACAACGACATGGCTAGAGATCATAGACACACGATACATGCTCCAGTTCCCCCTTCCCCCCACCCCAACCCTAGGATGAGCTGCCACGTCAGTCACTCCTGCCACGTCAGTCACTCCTGCCACGTCAGTCACTCCTGCCACGTCATCAGCACCACCCACCTGCATCCCCTGCAGCTGGTTCCTGCGGTAGTCCAGCTGCGTGTTCACATAGTCTTCTGTGTCGTCCACATACTCGTGGAGCTGGGGAGGGGGGTGGGGTTGGGGCAAGGGATGGAAGGCAGTGGGGGAGGCACTGATAAGAGATAAGAAAAGGGTGCATTCAGATAGGTGTGCTCTCATGCTGCTGTGTGTTCCCATAGTCCTCGGTGCCATTCACGTACTCGTGGAGCTGGGGGGAGGGAGAGGGGAGGAAAAGAGAAGGTTGGTTGGGTTGGGTGCTCCCTTCTTCTCTGCGAGCTCACATAGTCCTCCCGTGTCGTCCACGTACTCGTGTAGTTGGGGAGGAGGGAGGTGTGGGGGGGAGAGGGAGGGAGGGTGGGGGTAGAGTTGGATGGCCTGCTCTTTACTGCGTGTTCACATATTCTTCCGTGTCATCCACGTACTCGTGTAGCTGGGGAGGAGGGAGGTGTGGAGGGGAGGAAGACAGCCGGTGAAGAGAGATAAGAAGAGAGACAAGGGCATGCAGAGCAATTAAGCATAGCCAATTAACGTGGCACAGCACGGCATAGCCAGCAATTTACTCACAGCGGTCAAGCCGTTCAGTAGCCGGTCCACCTGAGTGGAATACGCCTCCAGCAGCCTCTCCAGCTGCTCCTCCACACATCACAGACGCCAGTAGACTCGTACAAAGGCAACGCACATGACTGTACTCACCGCTGTGAGATCGTTCAGTAGCCGATCCACCTAGGTGGAATGGAATACGCCTCCAGAAGCATCTCCAACTCCTCTACATTCTCCCCTCCCCCTACACTCAAGCAAGGAGCAAGCAGAGCTGCGGTTTGGGAATGAGGGGAAAGGACTTCAGCAGGTCAATTCTTAGGATTGTTACAAGTGATTCCCATGCACTCGAGCAATCAAGGAGCAACTAGTGCGGCAGTTTGGGTAGACTGGAAAGGGTTTCAGGAGGCCAACCAACTCTGGGCAGTGATGGATTTTCAGCAGGTGGAACTTTCTCCGCTACCAAGACACCCGGGCAGCTTCTGAAAATGACTGAGGTCTTTCTTTACAGATGAAGGACATTAGATGCGAGGCATGGAAAGGCCTACCGGTGCCTTCCCATAGCTCTCAAAGTAGTCAGCAGGCTCTTGGTGGCGAGGATGGAAAAAAATTCCAGGAAGAATCAGCCACATATGGAGCAAGGAACGGGGGGAGAGCAGGGAGAAGGCATAATGAGGCGAGGAAATAAGCAAGACAACCCCAATGCTGGCCAGGCTAGCGATCAGTTTCTAGCCTGTTCTATAGAGCGATGGCCCTGTTTGGTGCTAGCTAGTTATAAGAAGTTTATGTGGTAATTATCAGGCCACAGTTGCAGCACCTTCTTCAATCACAGTATTCGCACTAAGCTAGATGCATATTTTAAGAGCTAACTCCTTTGTTAGTTATCTCCAATTTGGTTATGTACACAAAAACTCCAATTTGGCTTCCTATGCATATCCTACCACTCCTACACTTTCCGCCAAGTCCTGATGATTTCCCCCTCTCCCCTCCATTCTAGGCTTGTAAGTTCCTCCTAATCATCCCATCCATCTGCTCTCCTTTCCCGTAGCATCTCCATTTCCATTCATTCCACATCCTCATCCTCATCCTCCTCATCCTCATCCTCATCCTCCTCATCCTCATCCTCATCATCCTCCTCATCCACATCCTCCTCATCCTCATCCTCCTCATCCACATCCTCCTCATCCACCCCCTCTGCTTCACATGGTTCTATCGAGCCATAACCCCTGCCAAAAATTCTCATCGTATTCTGGTTTGAAATCCGAGGACACCTGACAATCTCGCAATACTGCAGCATTGGCATATCGGAAAGGGAGGATGTCAGTTGAGATAGTTGCTCACAATCACGCACTTCCAACCACTTCAGCCGAGTCAAGTCTCGAAAGGAACCGGGGAGCCTGCGAAGTTTCGACAGTTTATAGAGATATAGCCTTTGGAGAGAAATAAGTTTCCCGAAATCATGTGGAAAGGATAACAGCTTCGGGCAGTCGATGAAATTGAGGTGTTGTAGGCTAGGCAGTTTCGAAAATGATCCTGGAAGTTTTGAAATCTTTGGGCAGTCTCTCATGTTCACAAACTTCAGCTTCTCCAACTGCCCAATCGAATTGGGCAGCTGAAGAAGACTGCTTAGTTGGCTTAATCTGAGAGATGTAAGCCTGGAAAGTCCACCCACTGACTCCGGCAGCGCTTTGAGACACCCAGCATTAGTGATGGTCAATTCTTCCAGGTTCGACAACCGAGAAATGGAGGGAGGAAGTGAATGAAGTGTAAGCATGTCCGCCAAGTCCAGCTTGACCAATGAAGATATGCAGGCCAGGGATGGATCAAGTACTTGGGAAGCAAGAAAATAAAATGTAAGACTCCGCAGCGATGGAAGTACTTCTTCTGCTACACAATCCAGATTGCTGCTGCTGCTGCTGCTGCTGCTGCAGTCGCTTCTCCCTCCAACCAAGGTGTCCACAGTGCCCCTCCTGCCCAGGTTCTTGCAACTGCTCACATACAGCTCCCGTAGTCGAGGCAGCTTCAACAGCGACTGAGGAAGTGGTTCCAAACTGTCTAAACCTGAAAGATGGATCTTTTCCAGCATTTCCAGCTGTCCAAGCCCCTCTGGCAACGCTTTCAGCTTCCTGCAGAGTCCTATTGTCAGGCTGGTGAGGGTGAGAGCTAGTCGAGAGAGGCAGGCAGGCAGGGAAGTCAGATTTGGGATGCTAGATAGAGAGAGTTCTCTAAGGTGGGTGAAGTTGCCGAAGCCCTCCGGGAGGCAGCCTCTCAAGCACTCGAGCCCTTCCAAGTCTATTTTTTCGAGCGATGAAAGACGGAAGAAGGATGCAGGGAGGCGGGTGATAGGTACGTGGTGCAAAAACAGCTCACGGAGATGGTGCAGGCCATCCCCTATGCTCTCTGGTAAAACAGTAAGCTCCGAGCAAGACCTTACATCCAGTTTTTGAAGGGAAGATAGCAGGGTAAAGGAGTTGGGTAGCTGCTGAAGTTTCTTACACCAGTGAAGCCTCAGTTCCCGCAATCTGATCAGATGTCCAAGGGATTCCGGCAAGTGGCTGAGACGCTCAAGGCTTGACAACTCCAATACCTCCAACGCAGTCAGCTGGCCAAAGTCCTCAGGCAGGGAGGGAAGACTTTGGAAATTGGCTTTTAAGCTTTTTAGCTTGAGACTCTGAAGCTTTATTAGCCGACCAATGCCATATGGCAATTCTGAAAGGCTTGGCACGCGCAAGTCGAGGCTCGTGAGAGATGAGACGTTGGGCAAGGACCTGGGTAACCATGAGGAACTGTCTTGGCTGTCAATTGTGAGCCGCTGCAGCTGCGGCAGAAGCCCAACAGTCTCTGGAAGCTCCGTAATCCCCTTCACATGCCTGAAGAGTAGGCATTCCAATGCCGGCATCATTCCAAAATCCACAGGCAGCGGCAAGAGCTCTTCACAATCCCATAACTCCAGCACCTGCAGTCGTTGAAGCTTGGAAAGACCGCTTGGAAATTGAAATTTATCGCAATTATAAATGAAAAGACGACGTAGATTGACAAGCTGCTGAATGGATGTCGGGAGTGTGCGGAGAGAGCGAATAGCAAGCAGGTTTAATGTCTTCAGCGAGACAAGATTGCCCAAATCTTGCGGCACGTTCTGTAGATTTGGCACATCCAGCTCAAAATTCTCAAGAAGCTGCAAAGAGGTGATCGCGTCGGGAAGATGCTGAATCCGATTGCTCTTTAGAAAGAGGCTTCTGAGTCGGGATTGGTTGCGGATGGAAGGTGGAACGGTACGGATACACGACGGACAGTCTAGGTATAGATCCTCTAGATTGGTGCAACCCTCAAATAGCCTAGAGAGTCCTTTTGCAGTAAAAGATTCGCCACGACTGAACGGATCGGATGAAGTGTCGATGCGGAGCTCAACCAAATCGGGATGCGTTTCGGCCAGGCCAGAGAGGAAAGCATCCGGGACGAAGGATAAACTCCCGCGTGATAGGACGAGTTTCTTCAGACTAGGAAATTTCGCGAGCTGGTCAAGCAACTGGCGGTAATTCATGCCCCGATGATTGGACACTTCAACGACGTCCTGGACGCAGTAAGCTACCTCGCGCCACTTCGTGCACACCAAAGCATGTAAGAATTCGTTGGGTCGAACAACTAAGTGCAGGATCTTGGCGAGCAAATCGGCAGATAGCCGTCGGATCGGAGACTTCGGTGACATTGTGACGGATCTAGGTCGATTGAGAAACACGGGTGAAGGCTCTGAAACTTAATGTAGAGCGAGGTTAAGGCCGACGTGGACTACTGTAAGGCTTTTCTGCGAACAATCTGTCTGGCAGTCAAAACGTTAGGGAGAAGGAAGTACTAACCCGAAATGGCTGGTGGAATAGCAGGACAGAAGATATGTAGGCTGGCGCCAAAAGGAAGGCTTGGCGTGGGTGAATGGCGTGTGCCTGAAGAAATGACACGGAGGGATGGAGGAAGATGAGGAGCGAGCGAGAGGAGAAATGTCGACCTCGATAACTCAAAACTGAGAAACGCGAAATCAGTGGTAGCAATGGCGAGATCTTGGTTGGGGACTCCCAGCCAACTTTGCATGAAATGGAGGAAGAGCCATGGCGGTGTGGGATATGGGAAAGCTAAGGAAATCTGCTGGCTGAAATGTCAAACCATAGCACTTGTCCCACCCACCGTGATGGCGGGTCATTTCTCAGTTCGAATCACACATCGGGACTGCCGAAAATGAATCGAAATTCTTCGGCTGTTCCGAGAACACGCCATTCCTGCCCAAACGAGCTGCAGCGACGAGTTGTGCGTTGTGCCACTGGTTTTGCGAAGGTAACTGTGTTTCGTACAAGCCAGCGAGGGAGTTGCGCCCAGGGTGGAGCTATTTAAAGCCCGTGTCCCAAATTGCGGACCGCGAGGGTCAAGTTTTTAAAACTTGACGAAGTTGAGTGTCCAAGCTTTTGAAAGTCACGCACCTGCAATTTGGGACTTTCGAAGACAGATTCACTCACCAGGGGGAAAACGAACCTAGACGAAATTGCGAACTCTCGCCAAAGCCTACACCAGAAAAACTCCCTCTGGTCAACTTTTAAAAGCATGAACAATTTGGGCCGCCGGCTTTAAGTGCGGAAACATACGAGGGTCGTGGGGGTGCGATGCCAACAGGCTTCCCCGTAAGGCAGTTTCAGTGTGATTTCGACCATGTTGCGGCTACACAACTAGTATATGGACTTCTCGGTGTGGCTATTTCACATAACTGAAATTGCAGTCCCATTATGCTAAATCTCCAGTCTAGAGCCATATTTCCGGCGTTTCAGGATCTTCTAAATCAACAAAACAGGGCATGGTGGCATGTAGAGAGCTAAGTCTTAAAAGCTAAATAACAATGTTAGCCCTAAAGTGAGACTTCACGTGCATAATCTTCCATTCCCTGGGTAGAACTCAACAAATACCAAGCGTTCAAGTCCTGTTACAGAAATTTGATTTACGTGATTATTTGGAAATACCAGGTGTAGTATACGAAACCACCCAGAAGAGCGGCACCGGAGCCAAGGAGGGGCAGCAGCACAGTGGGGAACTGGCCGTCTGTCTCAAAGAGGAAGTTGGGGAGATTCATTGAGAAGGCTGCTATGATCACAATGAGCATTGATAGCACCGTGCCCGTTGCTGTTATCAGCACCTGAAGGTGGGGAGGGGAGGGGGTGGGAGGAAGCATGGGAAGGAATATAAGGGAGAGGGCGGACGGGGTGCAGTAGGTCTTGGGGTAGGTTTCGGTAGGTTCATTGAAAAGGCGACAGAATCATGACGACATGGCTAGAAAACAGAGCCACATGACACATGCTCTGGTTCCCCCTTCCTCTCACCCCCCTTGCACCCATCCCCCCTCTAAACCCCCCGTTCCCCCCACCCCAAGTCCCCAACCCCAGGATGAGCTGCCACGTCAGTCACTCCTGCCACGTCATCAGCACCACGCACCTGCATCCCCTGCAGCTGGTTCCTGCGGTAGTCCAGCTGTGTGTTCACATAGTCTTCTGTGTCGTCCACATACTCGTGGAGCTGGAAGAGAAGAGGGGGGGGGGAGGGGGGGGGTATACATTGGTGCTCTCAGCCTCTGATAGTCCGGCTCCGTGTTCACATAGTCCTCCATGTCGTCCACATACTCGTGGAGCTGAGAGGGAGGGAAGAGGTGGGGGTAGACAGAGCGTGTAAGAGAATGCAGAGTGTGCTCTCAGTGTTCACATAGTCCTCTGTGTCATCCACATACTCGTGGAGCTGGGGGGAAAGACGAGGGGTGTGGTGGGGGGACAGGGAGCGGGAGATAAAGTGCGAGCATGCAGTGTGCTCCCATCCAGCTGCGTGTTCACATAGTCCTCTGTGTCATCCACATGCTCATGGAGCTGGGATGGCAGGCAGTGGGAGAGATATGAGAAGATATAAGGGCAGGGCACTTAACGTGTGTTCTCTTGCTGCTGCAGCAAGAGCATGGGGGTGTTATGTGCATGTGGTCCTCTGTGTCATCCACATGCTCGTATAGCTGGAATGGCAGGCAGTGGGAGAGATATGAGAAGATATAAGGGCAGGGCACTTAACGTGTGTTCTCTTGCTGCTGCGTGTGCATATAGTCCTCTGTGTCATGCACATGCTCGTGCAGCTGGGGGGAAGCGGGGAGAGCAGAGCAGGAGAGATATACGAAAGTAAGATATACGTGATTGCTATTGACTCACTGCAGTTAGGTCGCTCAACAGTCGGTCCGCCTGGGTGAAATACGCCTTCATAAGCATCTCCATTTCCTCCACGTCCTCCATACATACATGATACATATATACCAGCACAGCCAATCACTCACCACAGTTAAAGTCATTCAACAGCCGGTCCACCTGCGTGAAATACGCCTCCTGCAGCATCTCTAGCTCTTCCACGTCCTCCCCTCCTCCCCCACAGCAGCACACCCACTCACTGCTGTAAGGTCATTGAGCAGTCGATCCACCTGAGTGAAACACGCCTCCACCAGCATCTCCAGCTGCTCCGCATCCTCGCCTCCTCCCACAGCAATCCAGCAGCACACCAACCTCAGAGAATGTGACAGACGACTATTTACTCACCGCTGTGAGATCGTTCAATAGCCGGTCCACCTGCGTGAAATACGCTTCCAAAAGCATCTCCAACTCCTCCACATCCTCCCCTCCTCCCACACTCACCACACTCGAACTCACACTGCTCCCCGACCCCTCCACCATTCCCCCCATCCGCCCCATTCCCCCCCTCGGCGTCCCCCCCATTCCCCCCCATGCGCCTCTGCCAGAGCTTCGGAAGCTTCGCCCGGTGACGGGGAGGAAGGAGAGCGAGTGAGTGAGGGAGTGAGGAAGGGAGTGAGTGAGGGAGTGGGTGAGGGAGTGAGTGGGGGAGTGAGTGAGGGAGCCCCTGTGACCAGAGTCGGTCGCAGGGGGAAAAGCAGGGGGGAAGGCAGGCCCAGAAGCAGCGGGCTGAATATGAGGGGAGAGGGAATTGAGAGGAGGAGACGAAAGGTCAGGTGGAGGGGAATGTGATGGTGAGCGTGAGAGTGAGTGAGAGGGTGTTGGAGAGTGTGTGGGAGTGTGTGCTGGAAAGTTTGAAGGAGAGTGTGGGGGTCTGGGAGACTGTGGGGAGGAGTGTGCGGGAGAGCGTGGAAGAGAGTGTGCAGGAGATTGTGGGTGAGAGCGTGGGGGAGAGTGTGTGGGAGAGATTGGGTGAGCGTGTGAGGGAGACTGTGAGTGAGAGTGTGTAGGAGAGTGTGCGGGAGAGGCGGGGAGAGTGAGCCACTGCAGCTGGCGTGTGAGATAGAGGTCGGCCATGTCCCTATCGTCGTCTAGTAAATGTTCCAGTTCGTCCCGCACCTGCAAGGTGGAAAGAGCAGGGAAGGGGGACAACGGAAGGATGGCAGTCTGGCGTGTGAGGTAGAGGTCTGCCATGTCCCTGTCATCATCCAGTAGATGCTCCAGTTCGTCCCGCACCTGCAGAGAGGCAAGAGCAGGATAGGAAAGTGAGCAAAGGCAAGTGTGAGCCACTGCAGCTGGCGTGTGAGGTAGAGGTCTGCCATGTCCCTGTCGTCGTCCAGCAAATGTTCCAGCTCGTCCTGCACCTGCAGAGCGGCAAGAGCAGGATAGGGAAGGGAGCAAAGGCAAGGGTGAGGCAACTGGCCCTTCACCCTTGCCTGTGTGTGAGGCAACAGATGTTCCAGCTCATCCCGCACCTGAATAGAAAAGGCACGGAAGGAAGGAAAAGGGAGCACAGAGGCAGCACAGTGTGAGGCAGAGAGGTGTGCCATGTCCCTCCAACCCAACTCGTCCCGCACCTGCAGGAATGAGGGCGGAGGGAGAAACGGGAAGGGAAGCAAGGGGATAAAGGTAAGGGAGGGGCAGTTGGCGTGTGAGGTAGAGAGGTCTGCCATGTTCCTCCCTGTCATCGTCTAACAGATGCTCCAACTTGTCCCGCACTTGCAACAAGGGGAAGACAGGGTGGCACAGAGGGATGGACGAAGAGAGGACAAGAGAGAGGAGAGAGGTTAACGGAGCAGCAACAGAGTGACATTTACTTGAAATAACTCGTTACTACTGTGAACGCCTCACCTTCTGCACGCTGGAGGTTAACACGGCCAGCCGATTCTTCACGCCTCTCACATTATACCGAGCTGACTGAGTCGACTCAAAAGTCAGCAAAAGTCAGCTTTTGAGTCGACTCAAAAGTCAGCAAAAGTCAGCTTTTGAGTCGACTCAAAAGTCAGCTCGGTATAATGTCACACGCCGGAGGTTAACACGGCCAGCCGGTTCTTCACGCCTCTCACGGCGTCCCCGCCTCTCCACCTACCCCCCCACAACCCTCCTCTCTGCCTCATCTCACCTTTTGCACGCGCCAAGTCAGCACCGTCAGCCGGTTCTTCACCCCTCTCACCGCCTGTACCGCCGTGCTGACAGCCCGGGTGAGCGCGTCCAGAGCCGCATATGCGTCCCTCTCCAGCTCTCTGCACTCCGCCTCTCTAGTTGCCCACTCACCAGCATCTCTGCCCATCAGCCTGCTGCCTCCCTGCTCTAGTGCACTCGTTACTGCTTTCTACTGTGCCTGACTCACCTTCTGCTGCCCAACTGACTCACCTTCTGCTGCCCAACTGACTCACCTTCTGCTGCCCAACTGACTCACCTTCTGCACGCGGGAGGTCAGCACCGTCAGCCGGTTCTTCACCCCTCTCACCGCCTCTAGACCCGCAGTGCTGACAGCCCGCGCGAGCGCGTTGAGCGCAGCATACGCGTCTCTCTCCAGCTCGCGGCACTCCCCCTCCAGCTTCCGGCTCACCACCTCCTCTAGTATCTGCTCCAACACCCTGAACTCGAATGGTAAAGGCTCCTCCTCCTCCTCCTCCCCACCCTCCTCGGCTGCTTTTGCATCCTTCTTCTCGTCCTCCTTCTCTTTCGCTTTTTCGCTCTCTTCCTCCTTCTCCTTCTCGCTTTCACTCTCCTCCTTATCTCCGAGCCTTACAACATCTGCTCCCGTTCCTTTTCCTGCTCCTCCTCCTTCCCCTTCAATTTCGCCTCCTCCATGCTCCCGTTCTCTCCCTCCATCTGCATCTCCTTCTTCTTGTATTTCACCCTGTCCTTGTGTCCCCACATGATCACGTGCATGTGAATGTGCCTGCACATGTGCCTTATTCGTCCCCCCTCTTTCTATCTGCGACTGTGTCGGCATCGAATCAGGCCCCACGGCGTGCGTCTGTGCCTGTGCCTCATCCCTCCCCACTTCCGCCTCTGCCTGCGTGTGTGATTCCACACGATCATGTGTCCGTGCCTGCTCCTGCATCTTCGTCTGCACCTCTGTCTGAGACGGTTCAGGCCCCATGGCAAGCACTCGTTCCAGGTGGGCGGCAAAGGCGGCGACGGGCGGCGAGGAGGGGTTGAAGAGCAACACCTGTGGGCTTGTAGAGGAGGGCAGCAGAGTCAAGAATGTAAATCAGGATCAAGAACGTAAAACAGGACCAATAGCTAAGTGAGAAAGTGGATCTTGAAAAAAGCGATGAGGGGTTGAAGAGAAGCACCTGTTGGCTCATAGAAGGGAAGCAGCATGTGAAAAGGATGCTTGAGCAACAGTGTAAAACAGCTAAGTGAGAAAGTGAATCTTGAAATAAGCAAGGAGGGTGGAGTGGAAAAGTTGCACCTGTTGTGCTGACACGATGGCCTTCACATGCTCCAAGTTCACCATCATGCACCCCTCCCTGCCTGTAACCGGGTAACCAGACGAGGCGAGAGAGAGGGGGAGAAAGAGACACAATGGCCTTCACATGCTCCAGGTTCACCATTATGCAACCCTCCCTGCCCATAATCGGGTAACCAGACGGGGCGAGAGAGAGGAAGAAAGAAGGAATTGTGGCGGCTAAGGATCGCAATGGACCGTGCTAGCGCGGATCAAGCGCAGATCAAGCGCTGATCAACCGCAGATAGCGCGCGGGGACGGACAAGCGGCGCACATCCCGCCTGTGACGCGGAAAACTCAGAGAATGGCGGAGGTGTGGGCGAGCAGCGGGTCGTTCATGCGCAGATCGCGCGTGGGGAGCGACAGCCGACGTACGTATGTACGTACAGATGAACGCGCGTACGTACGTTCTAGATACGGGCTCAACTGAACTCACCGAGAATCGCGGCGGCGGAGGACAGCAGCGGGCCGTTTAAACGGAGATCGCGCGCGGGGACCGACACGCGGCGCATGATGGCCTGCTTCGTGCACTGTAGAAGCTCCGCCTCCCCCCGCATCCCGACAAGCAACACCGCCCATTTCCGCCCCGCCAGGCGCTTCTTCTTCCGCTTCTTCCCCCCCGCCGCCTTCCGCTTCTCGTCTCCTACTACCCGCCCCGCTTTATCGTCGACGATCTTAATCTCCACTAAGTCTCTTGCGTCTTTAGTCTCTCTAGACTCGTCTGCGTCATTCGGCTCCTTTCCGTCATCCCCGATACTAATCGCAGCTCCAGTTTCAGCCATCCTCACTTTCTCCGCAAAAACTCTCGTTTGGGCTCAAACGCAACCGTCAAATTAAAGTATCATCGCATGCCTATCTTGGCCTGTCATTACTTGCACACCCCTAGGGAGTGAAACTGCTTGTATGGAAAATGTGCGGCTCGGCAAGTGGTGCGGTCGGGATGGTCCCCGGAAGTTGATTTCGGTTCACCAGAACTCTTTACGTTTGGACTAGAAAACATGCCTACAGCACATGCCTGGTTGGACTTGACTCGTCTGATCAGTTACTCTAGTTTTCGCCATTTTCGTCAGCAATACAAGAAGGTTGCGATAAGCGAGTGCCCCTATCGAAGTTCGGTTGACTCTGGGTAGTGGGATCAAGGCGGTTTCGAACTTGTTCCGAAGCGAACAGCTTGGTTCATACATTGGAAAAGACACAAATACGAATATTTGTTAAACGCTTTTAGCGCATAATACGACAGTCTGAAACGCGGATGCATTCGCCAAGCGTGAAGCACCAGCATTCAAGCAGAACGCGTTTGGAGCAAAGGACAGGACTCTTTCTTGTCCCCTTGAGAGCAATCGAGAACTCTCGCTCTCTAGTTGGCTTGAGAGACGAAGGACGGAGTATACTGTTAGCATCATAGAGACAACGGTTCAGAAGTCGGCAGTGTGTAGTTCTTTGCACCGCCGGTAGGAGGCAGAGTTTCGTAAGGAGCGGAAGAGTGTGTGTGAGAGTGAGCGAGATTGAGGTGCATTTCAGTGAGTGTGTGTGACATCGAGGTAGAAAAACGAGAGATTGCGAGTGAGTGAGTGAGTGAGTGAGTGAGTGAGTAAGCGAGCGAGAGAGTGAGAGAGAGTGAGGGTGCGGGCAGCATGTCGATGACGGTACAGGAGTATCTCGATCGCCACAAGCTGTCGCTGCGCATAGAGGAGGCGGTCAATGCGGCCGTGCGCGCGAAAACGGACGAACCAATCGCATTTATCGTAAGTCTACCAGGTAGTTCTCATTATACACCGACTCATTAATGCTCACAGGCTGTCGCTGCGCATAGAGGAGGCGGTCAATGCGGCCGTACGAGCTACAACGGACGAACCCATCGCATTCATTGTAGGCTCGCTCGTTAACACTCGTTGTAAGCTCAACCGTTACCACTCGTTGCAAGCTGACGCGTTTGTGTCAGATTCTATACACTCGGACTCGTAAGAAGAATCACTGACTCCCCTCAGTGTGAGGGGACGCGTGGAGATGGACGCACCGGGGACTTAGGAACCACTCATAGCATTCACATACCCCCCTTTCCTTCCCCATGCCAGCACCTTTTCAGCGTGAAGGGCCGCGTGGTGCTGGACGCACGCGGGGTGCCGATGGTGGCGACTCAATTATCACTTCCTTCCGTTGGCGCACGCATACCGACCCCCCTTTCCTTCCGTTGGCGCACGCATACCGACCCCCCTTTCCTTCCCTTGGCGCACGCATACCGACCCCCCTTTCCTTCCCTTGGCGCACGCATACCGACCCCCCTTTCCTTCCCTTCCTCCTTCCCGTCCCTTCGCAGGCGCGCCATCTGCAGCGCGCAGCCCCATCGTTGATTCTGAGTGTGTGGGGGCGCATGGTGCTGGACGCGCGGGGGGAGCCCGAGGTGGAGGCGGAGGTGGGGTCTCACAGGAACCACGCACCCCCATGTCCCCCACTATGTTCCCTTATCTCCTCCAGGCACGGCACTTGCAGCGCGCAGCCCCATCGGTGATCCTGACCGTGAAGGGGCGCATGGTGCTGGACGCGCGGGGAGAGCCAACGGTGGAGGCGGAGGTGGGGTCTCACAGGAACCACGCACCCCCATGTCCCCCACTATGTTCCCTTATCTCCTCCAGGCACGGCACTTGCAGCGCGCAGCCCCCTCAGTCATTCTAACTGTCAAGGGGCGCATGGTGCTGGACGCACGGGGGGAGCCCACGGTAGAGGCGGAGGTGGGCTCGCACAGGGGCAACACACCCTCCTTCCTTCCCTCTCACTTCTGCTCCCCAACCCCCACCAGGCGCGGCATTTGCAGCGCGCAGCCCCATCAGTCATTCTTACTGTCAAGGGGCGCATGGTACTGGACGCACGGGGGGAGCCCACGGTGGAGGCGGAGGTGGGCTCGCACAGGGGCAAGTTCCGCGCCTCTGTTCCTACCGGCGTTACATCTGGCATGTGAGGATTGCGTCTGGCATGTGAGCATTACATCTGGTGTGTGCGAGTTACATTTGGCATGTGATGGCGTTATATCTGGCATGTGAGGCTTACATGTGGCACATGTGGCACGTGAGGCTTACAAATGGCATGGTTCTGAGATTCTCTCAAAAACCAATAAAGAACCAACTGGTCAGGACTCAGATGGATTACACACAGATGCCTTCTTCAATTAACCTGCCATCAGAGACGTTACTCACTGACCACGCCCGACCCGACCCGACCCGACCACACCCAACTTGACCCGACCGGACCCGATTCAACTCGACCCGACTTGAACTGGCCTGAATTGACCCGGCCCGACCTGACAATACTTGACCCTACCCGTCCGATCCAACCTGACCCGATCCGATCCGATCCGACCCGACCCGACCCGACCCGACCCGACTCGATCGGACCCAACCCGACCCTACTTGACCTGACCCCACCGTACTTGACCCGAGTCGACTCGATCCAACCAGACCCGACCCGGGGGGGATGGGGAATGTGAGCGAGGGGATTGCAGCATGTCTCACCCTTACCACCCTTCTCCCTTTATCCCCATCCACTCCCACATCTCCTTCTCTCCCCATCCTGTTGCAGATACGAAGCGGTGGAGGTGCGGGATGGGTACGAGGGGGATTTCTTTGGGAGGGGCGTACAGAGAGCAGTGGGGAATGTGAGCGAATGGATTGCAGCATGTCACACCCTTACCACCCCTCTCCTTCTCTCCGCATTCTCTCCTCTCTCGATCCTATCCAGTTACGAGGCAGTGGAAGTGAGGGACGGGGACGAGGGGGAATTCTTCGGAAGGGGCGTTCAGAGGGCGGTGGGGAATGTGAGCGAGGCTATTGCGGCAGCGGTGGTGGGGAGGGACCCTCGCGAGCAAGGGGAGATTGACCGGCTGATGGCTGCTGAACTGGATCAGACAGACAACAAGGTGGGTGGAGGCAGAGAGGGGGTAGAGGGGATGGGCTTAGGCTCAGGGGCGATCATGCTGTGCAGTACCGATGGTGGGGAGGGAACCTAGGGACCCCCGCAAGCAAGGTGAGATTGACCGGCTGACAACAAGGTGAGGAGGGAGGGGAGGGGGTGGGGGCGATGTGGGGGGGGAGAGGTGGGGGCTGAAGGGGGGTACTCGAGTTAAGGGCAATAATGGTGTGCAGCAGCGGTGGTGGGGAGGGACCCTCGCGAGCAAGGGGAGATTGACCGGCTGATGGCGGCTTAGCTGGACCAGACAACAAGGTGGGTGGGAGTCAAGAAAACAAGGGGGAAAGGGGTTGGAAACAGGGGGGAAGGGAAGGGACTCTCGCGAGCAAGGGGAGATTGACAGGCTGATAACAAGGTGGGTGGTGGGAGGGGATGACAGGTGAGAGACTCTGAGCATACACTCCCCCCAACTTCCGACACACTTCTCGGCACCGACCAACCCCTGAGCACCATTCCGCGACACCAGCCTCTGAGATCCACTTCTATTTTCCTCGCTCGTGTGCGGATGAGTTGGCTTCTGACTTGACTCAAAACATGAGCTTCCCACCTTCTTTTCCACCCTCATTCACCCATCACACCCCCCCTCGAGCAACCAATCCAACAGAACCCCCCGCCCACTCTGTTCTCCTCCCTCCTTTCCTCCCGCTCTTCCCCATTCCCACTTTGTCATCCTCGTTCCAAGGCGAGCTGGGAGCCAATGCCGTTCTGCCTGTGCCTCATCCCCCACCAACCTGCATCCTTTCTTCCCCCTCTCCTCTTCTCTCCCACCCCATACACACCTCCTCTCCCCCTCCGTCAGGGCGAGTTGGGAGCCAATGCCATTCTCGCCGTGTCGCTGGCAGTTTGCCGGGCAGGCGCGGCAGAGCGAGAGGTGAGTGCGTGTGGGTGTGAGTGGGGAAAGAGGGATTGAAGGGGCGTGAAGAGGGGGTAGGTGTGGAGAGTTGGGCTGCCATTCTCGCCGTGTTGCTGGCAGTGTTCCGGGCAGGCGCAGCAGAGAGAGAGGTGCGTGCGTGTGAGTGGGTGTGAGTGGGGAGAAGGGGTTTTTTCTGAAAGTTCAAGTGTTAGGAAGACGAAGGATGTGTCGTTGACGGTGTGCCGGGCCACACAACCACACGCAGCAGGGAGATAGGTGACTGTGGGTGGGTTGGTGTTGCAGAGACAGCAGACAGAGAGTTGAGTGCGTTGAGTACATCGCCTCACTTGCAGTCTTGCAGAAGTCTCTCACCCTCACCCCACTCTCCCCATGCCCAAGTTCGCCCACCTCTCCTCACATTCACGTGCTGCCATTCCCCACCCATCTCTCCCGCCTCTCCTGCCCCTCTGTTGTCTCTGGCCTCTGTTCACTTTCCCCCCCTGCACATGATCACAGCTGCCACCACTGCACGAGTACATCGCATCGCTGGCAGGAGTTCGACCTCTCACGCCCTCCTCTTTCCCTTCCCCCTCCGATCGTTCACTCTTACCCCCCACCTCCCCTGGTCATCTCGCAGCTCGCACTGCACGAGTACATCGCCTCCCTGGCAGCGGTCCCCCACCCATCTCTCCCTTTTCCCGAGTTCGCCTCTCATTCAGTTGCTGCCAACCCCCACCCATATCTCCCACTCCATGCCTCATCTCGTCTCCCTCACCACACCACAATCGCAGCTGCCACTGCATGAGTACATCGCCTCCCTCGCAGCAGTCCCCCACCTCTCTCTCCCAGTGCCTGAATTCGCCCTCTTTTCCTCTCATTCAAGTGCTGCCATTCCCTCCCCTCCCATGCCTCCCTCCCAATATTCTGCCCCCTCTCGTCTCCCTCACCACACCACAATCGCAGCTGCCACTGCATGAGTACATCGCCTCCCTGGCAGCGGTTCCCCACCCCTCTCTCCCCGTGCCCGAGCTCGCCCTCCTCTCAGGCGCCCTCACACCCTCCTCTGCCGCCTCGCCTCCCTTCCATGTGAGTTGGACTGAGTTGAATTGACACTGAACACCGTGCTTCGAGTTGAATGGAATGACCAA